ACTTTAAATTCGAAGGCTCCCTATCTTGTTACCACTGTAGTCTTTACTTCATCTCCCTCTTTGATTTGAACTTGTCAGTATCCAGACCTAAGATCAATCTTTGTATAATACCTCGCCCGGCTCAGTCGGTCGAAGCAATCCGCGACCACGAAATAGGGTAGCTATTCTTCACAATGATTTTATTCAAGACTCGATAGTCACAGTACATTCTAAGAGAACTATATGCCTTTTTCTGAAACAACACGGGAGCTCCATATGGTGATTTTGCATGCTCGATAATCCCACTTTCCAACATTTTTCCCAATTGTTTTCGAAGCTCTTCAAGCTCAACCTGAGACATACGATAGGGTGCCGTGGCAGGAGATTTGGCACCTGGAATAAGTTCAATATCATGATCAATTGCCCTTCTTGGTGGCAATTTCTTTGGTAACTCATCCGGCATGATGTTATCAATTTCCTTAATAAGCCTCTTGACCGGTTTTGGAATAGGACAATTCACTTCTTCGATCTCCTCTAATCGAAGAGTGCACAAAAATGAGGGTTTATTTCTTTTGAAACATTTACCAAATTGCATGGCTGAGATACTTTTCTCGCTCATCTTCCCACTTGTATAGTAATGACGTATGGTTTACTACCCATCATCATTAATGAATCGGAATATGGAAACACTGTTGTCTTAGTATCTCGAAGAAATTTCCATCCCAAAATAAGCTTGAAGTCATCAATCTGGACTACAGACAAGTTTGTCCTTCCCTTGAAAGGACCCTCTTTGAGCAACAAGAATTTCACTACTCCAGCTAATGGTTGAGCAGCGGAGTTGATTGATTTGACCTTTCCACTACTTTTCTCCAGAACAAGTCCAAGTTACTCCACTTTGGTACTTGCGAGGTAGTTGTGGGTAGCACCAGTATCTACTATAGCCCTGACTTTCCATTCATTTACACATCAATGTACATTAGGCCTTTGGCCCTACAAATGCGAGCCTTTGATTCTTCCATCTTTACCTCTTTCGAGGGAACATCATCCTTTTCAGTAGCTCGGTGTAATAGTGTATTGCAACGATGTGAGAATGCGCTAAATACATCCTCATTCTCTTCGGAGTCGGTCTCACCGTGACAGCAAGATTGTGCGACATCTTGCTTTGAACTCATTCAACCACTCGCTAGTTGACAATATGCATTCACCATCCATTTTTAGGGCATTCCGCCACTCGATGAGGTCCTTTTCATAAAGCACATCAATTAGGAGTGACATCAAATTTGCCCTCCATTGCTTTTCCCTTATTCCAGTTGTTACTGCTACTACCATTATAGTTTCCTTGACGATTATTTTTATGATTTCCTTGAAAGGTACTTTGACGGGTGGCATGATAGGCTCCTCCCTTATTATTAGAGTAACTCTCTTCCCTATTTGAGTTCGAGTTGGGCATGTAAAGTTTGTTTCCACCCTCAATAGCTTGATTATTCCCTGAAGGTCGATATTTTCTCGACTCTGGTTGAAAGTAACTTAAGCATTCAGAGGCTCCCATGGCCGTACTCAAATCAGTAACCTTTTGTCTTTGAAGTACCGTGCGTGTCTAAGGTTTCAACCCTTCCATGAAGGTGAATAGCTTATCATTTTTCGACATATCTCGAATATTTAGCACATGCCCTGAAAAAGGCTTTCACGTACTCCCCGATAGAGCTTGTATGTTTCAATTCTTGTAGTACCTGTCTTGCCTGATATTCCACATTTTCTGGGAAAAACTATGATCGTATCGCTTCCTTGAGGAGATCCCAAGAATGTATTCGGATTCTGTTGGCCTGAATATCAGCATATTTTGTCCGTTACCATAGTTTTACATCTCCACCAAGATACATGGTATCTATTGTGACCTTTCTTGCTTCGTCTTCGATTGAAGTTGCAAGAAAGTATTGTTCCATATCAAACAAGAAGTTCTTGACTTCTTTTGCATCGCGTGCCCCTTAGTAGGTACACGGTTCCGAAATTCTGAGTCTGGGAACATACACTTGTGCGGGGGCTTGCCCATAGCTAACCGCACATTGAAGTACTCATTATTGAGCTCTCAATGCTTCCATTTCATCATGTAGATCAGACATGATTGCAACAGCTTCAGTCATTGCTGTGCAAGCCTTTCGGCTTTCATTCAGTTGGATATGTAATTCTTGAATTTTCGTTTCTGCCACCTCGACTTTTTTCCTTGAGACCCTCTACGGTATAACACAACGTAGTAATTGTCTCATCAAGCGCATCCACGCGCTGTTTCGTGCTCCTCTTTTGAGGATCTATGACTTCTGTAATGTTTGATGTAATTGGATTCATAGCTTTCTTATCGAGGGTAGTGAGTCGCAGCTCTGATCCTAACTTTCACGGGGTGCTTTTCTTCTTAGCACAAAAAAGGATACCGTGCGACAATAGTCTGCTCTGTTAGATTATCTTTCGCTTTCTCTTGGTCGTTTCGGGAAGAAAGAAAATTTGATTACAATTTTTAAATATCTTGCAATATAAAATTGAGATGCATTAAAAGTAAATTGATCATTGATTACTTGAAAGCTAAAAATTACAATTGATGAAAGCAGAGAATTACAATGACCGGTGTAGGGACGAACGCCAGAAAGTTTGAAAGATTTTTGAACGACTAATGCCCCCTATAATAGCTTGAGAAAGAAAAATTTAAATAATAGGAGTAGACGTTTAAATGACAAAAAAATCATACTAAACGTTTACAAATATCAGAGTTATTTTACAATTGAAATAAACTATTACAATTAAAATGAAATTACAGCTCAAATTGAATTAATAGTTACAATGTGCAACCAAAGTTGGACAAACTGCGATTACGATTGTATCAAGGAGCTAATTGAAGTTGCGGTCCTTGACACCGTGTCATGTCGAGTCTGATACCCACACTTTTTGAATGCCCTACTACTATTTATTTATTTCTCTCTTTCACGGTAATAATATGTAGTTCAACTTAAAAGTTATTTTAATATGAGCAATAACCGTCCTTTTTCACAAAAGATTCAACCAACAAAAATCAAAAGTAAAAAATTAATTTGATTTTTTTTTCTTCTATAAAAACTTAGATTATAAATATAAATTTTAAAGAATTTGAATTGCAGCAAATGGATTTTTATGTAATTGCACTTCAAAAAATAGCCACGTTTACAAAGTCTTCCAAAATTAGCCACGTTTCACGTCCACATTCAATTTTAGCTGCAAATCAAGATTACCCCTTTCATTATCAATCATGTTATATGTACATCTTTGTTGATATTAAATTTAACATTATTTTGAAGTGACAATTTGTTACACATTGATTTTAACAACACTTTAAACAATCAATATCACAAATTTTGACAACACATAAAGTGCCAAAGTTAATGGCACTACGTGTGTACAATTATCTTTGACACGATTATTTATTTCTCTACGTCACACATATAAAAAATATAAATTTAACACCACTTTTCGCCTCGATATGTTACATCTGCTGATTATCGTCAAATTTAACATTTAATCCTTTTGAGACTAGAATATCAAATTGCAAAACTTAGGGTTCGTTTGATTGCAATGGTGGAAAATGAGTGGGAAAAAAATGAATTTTAGGAAAAGTAATTGTCTAGAAATTATTTTGCAGAAAATTGTTAATTAAGTGTGTTAGATTAATATAATTTTCCACACCGAAAATTTAAAATTTTGTGTTCGTTTGACTTTATTTTACATGAAAATTGTTCATTAAAGTGATAATTCTTTTCACAATTGGTTATAAAATTTGTTTTTATTGCCAAAAAGTAAAAAACAAAACGAAATTTTTTTCCTAAAAAATTATTTTTTAATCAAAATTTAGTGTTCGGTTAGCTTCGTTTACATGAAAATTGTTTATTAAAGTGAATTTTTTTTTTATATATAATAGGTTATGAAATTTGTTTCCATTGGAATAAAAAAAAAAAAAACCCCTGGAAATAGATTTCCCACCATTTTAGTGGAAATCAAATACCTCAAAATGTGGGAAATGGGGCACGTGAAGCCCTTGAGTGGAAAATCAATTCCCAAGAATTTTGTGTCTATCAAATAAGGCTTTTTGTTGAAAATGAAAATTATTTTCCATTTTCCATAGAAAATGTACATTATCAAACAAGGTATTAGAGTTGAACTTTCAAACTATCAATCATGCAATAAACATATTATATACAAAATTTCAATTTGATGCAACAGGACCATGAAACACGAAAACTTCTAATAGGATGGCACAGCCCATGTCCAACACGTGTCATGTTTGGTCAAACGTCGACAATCTTCGAACATTCTACTATATGCACTTTTTCTCATGGTAATAATATATAGTCGAAGTTGTTTCAATATAAACAGTAACTACTCTTTAAAAAGAGAGAGATCACGAACAAAAATCAAAACTAAAAAAGTAATGATTTTATTAAAAAATAAAAATTAATAAAAACTACGATATAATATGTAAATATAAATTTTAAAGAATAAGAGAATTTGATCAATCATTTTTCCTGAAGTCGGAGAACTGAACCATGAATTCTCTTTCTTCATGATCAATCGAATCAATGTTTGTGACTGGATTCTATTCTATATTTATCGCAGTGTCCTTACATATAGGTTCTTACTTTTTTTGAAGAATTTCATGTCAATGTGTCCCTCTCGTCTCGTGTGCCGTGCCCGTGCTTCTTATTTCATACAATATATTTAGAGGAAGGGTCACAAATGGAGATGCAATTGGGTGAGTATACACTGATAAACCAAAAAACAAAATAAATTGAATACACCTCTATACTAGCAGTTCTGTCAGCTACATTCAGCAAGTAGTTCCTTCGTGTTACACACAGTTGCATGTAAATCCTAATCTAATTCACCGATAGATAACACCAGATTACAGGGTACAGGATTATCCAGTCCTTCCAAACAAACAAGCTAGCAACACTTTATACTAGAATGGCTTATTGAATAAACTCATTTTACTAGCAAACTCGATATTAATTAATTTGGCACTTGAGAATCTGCAGGAAATATCACAGATTGACTAGTAGTTAGTTGGTGATTAACAAATAAAAGAGACTTTAATAAGAAACGGCTTCAACGCATAACACATTGCAATCATGAAGTTGAAAAGAAAGAAATACCGCAAGAATCAACCAGAGCTAATTAGATCCACGTTTGACAGTTTCTTCAGCTCGTGTGAGTGCATCTGTGAGTACGTCAATTGTCCAATCCTTCATGTCTTCCTGAAATGGAAATTAAACCATTGAGCATAAAGATTCCTAGATCAAAGAGAACAACAAAATATCATGTGGAGGACAGGGAGATAAGAAAAAGAAGCAAAAAGAGAAAAAAACACAAAGCCAAGTGACCACACAAAACTATATCCTACTATTATTATTTCTTTAATTTTGTTACCAAGATAATCAAAACTAAGACAAGTGATTAATGATTTCAGTTTTTTCAGAAATTCAGGTGCAAAAGAATTAAAAGCAACATTTTAGTCCACATGTCATCAAAATCATTACAAAGAGCAAGTTAAATGAACACTTATTGGAGGAATCACTCAATTTCAACTTGAAGCCTCTATTTTCCTTTTGTTTGTCTACCTGCAAGAGCCTAAAGTTAAGCTATCTACCCTAGATTCATTGAACAAGAACTTTGGTTTGGCCTTCTTCTCAGTACCTTCATGTGCAGGTGTCCGTCCAATCCACTTACTATAATCTTACAGTAAACATGCTAAACAGATTCGAGTTGACAAAACATGCCTGTTTCAGGTAACCATTAAATTGCCCAAAATATCAAGTTCTTGAAAATTATTTGGCATTATTACAGTAATATTCACATTTGATTACACGACAGAGGCAGAAATAATGGTAATTAGAAGTATATAGCCCTAAATATCATTTCAATTCTATTTCCTATATCTGAGGGGACCTCACACTAGACTCAACATAACTCCGCAAAGTCTTATATTATAATTACATAGGCTTAGCTGCATGAAACTTCTTTGTCCCCTCTGCATTATCAAGGATCATCCCGGAATCAAAGGTTCAAATCTTTTCTGATTCCCTCCTGGCATGGATCTATGATATCCTTAAAATATCAAAGACATCAGTACTGGACCCCAAAGTTGAAAAAATGTCCAATTTTCCAGTGCAACGGAGTACAAAATGAAATTACAAAGAAGCAGACTTAAAGATATCCATATATTATGAGTACTAATTTTATGCTGGCCAATTCCCGCCCAGCGTCTATTTCTTTTAGAAATGGGCTATTTTATTTTGTAGGAATTTGAATCTTGTTAACTTGTAGTTCAAGGATATGTCAATGTCATTTTAGAACGAATACTAATGATGGCAACTTTTTAAGATCTTCAACACCCAGTTATAGGTTCATGGACTAAATTGTAGAGTAATATTGCATAAGCATAAGACGTGTTGTGCAAACAGCTTAATTCTGAATATTTTAACACACCAAAAATGACTTATTTTCTAAGGGTACATTTGTAACTTGGAGTCCAGTATATTTGGTTCCTTAGGCAAATATGAAAAAATGCTGCAACATATGTAATACAGAGAAACAGATGCCAATTTACGCATTAGTTTATTTTCATTTCATGATATTCAATCGTACACAAATTTATTAGACTTCATATTTATTTTGTTGGAAAAGAAAATATGAGTATAAATATCTTTTGCAGAATTTTTCTTTCCCTTTTCAAATTGCTAGATGAAATCTAAGATCCAAGTTGAGCCTAAAGAAAGAAGTATTAAGTATGCCCTAAGGGCAATCTACACAGTGGAGTAAGACATATTTTCTACTTTTATTACATTTAATAATGAGAAAGATGAATATTTCATACTAAGATAATTTAAGTCGACGGAATTCAAGTAAAGGAAATATATTTTTAAGGATGTTAAAAATGAACTCTTCATGCCTTGACTCTAAATTCTTAAAAATACGTAACAGTTGAATAATCAGTTGAACGTTGATACTCCCAGTATGTCTAGCATACTATGTATTTCTCCTAACGAGACTGCTTTCACATCTGTGACGAGATTTCAGAGTAATCTGTAATCATGAGGGTACTTGTTCAAGTTAGCACATAAATTACCATAGGATTCAATATTATTAGTTTTAAGTTAGGAAAATTTCCTTTTCATTTCTATTATAGATTTTTTATGTATAAATAGGGGTATGATTTTACAATTACGTAGATTATTAATATAATTCAGATATTGAAGTTTCTGTCTCCAAATTCTCTTTTCTCTCTTTCTTTCTCGTTCTGCATCACTTTGGCTCCTCCTAAATGAACTAACCTCATAACTTAGTAACTAACTGAAGGTACAAGGATAACATAGATGATTTGCTAGATTCAATAATAATGCATGGAAGTATGAAATGAAGCTACAATAAAAACATGAAATCATTCAACAGCAAACTACCACTAGTTCGACTTGAACTTGAAGGCAGAAGGCTACCTTTGGGGAGTGAAAATCCATAAAATTTTGAATATATATAGGTTTTGCTTTTGTCTACTGAAAGGGTACATAATATTTTTTTCAAATAGTTAAAACCAATTAAAGGGAAAGAAATAGATGAAGTTTTGATTTTACCAAGTGCAATGGTTCCCCAGTCCTTACTCGCGCATTTGGACGAGCAAGCTTAGATTCAAATGGAGTTCTTGGCCGTACTTCCTGAATTTCTTCCCACTCCTCACGAGTGAGCATCCTAACATTTCCCTGACCAGCAGGGGCATTCTTTATTTTCCGCTCAATCATCTCCTGAGACTTGGACTCATCAAGCTGCCAGCATGCAAGATTATTACCATCAGTTGCAAATCACAACGTCCTTAATATAAAACACAGCAAAACTAATGAAAATCAACATAGAAGGAGATGGATTTTATAATGTAGTATGGGTATAATGGCCAGATTAAAGATCACTCCTGACCATAGACCAAAGAGAGACCTCAAATTTTAATTCTCCTGGGTGACAACCTGAGTGTTTTCCAACCAAATCTCAGTGACCTTCTATAAGATCTCTAAAGTTAGCAAATAGTATGGACACTTCCATCATCGGTAGCTTAAACGGCAGTTTTTTTTAGAGTTAACTTTCTCAACGTCTGAAGGAATGCTAGTAGAGCATAAATATTAGGGAAAACTATCTAATTGTCAAACCATTTGTTAAGAAAAAAGAATTCGTAAAATTGATTACGATATTTTAAAGCAAGTTCAAGTGATGTGATGGTACCATCATCAGGAGCTTTGCAAAGAGTGCAACTCCCACTGCAGTGAGTATCATCGGCATAGTTGCTGTATCAAGGTAAGTTCCTGGTTCAGGAACTTCCACAAATAGTTGATTTTTTCTAGGGTTCTTGCTTTTCCTCTTCTTCTCTAACAAAGAAACTTTTCTCTTCAAGGTGTCACTAGGACCATCCCGGGATACTGTATGCAGTTGTCTAAAAATTTGCGACAATGTCCGGCAAAAAACTTGCATGTTTACCAACAAAGTGCCAAAAGATGTTACATATAAAATCTGTTTAAAGTTCAGTTTCGTCTACCCTGTCCAAAATGTTACAGAAACAATCAGTGGCAAAAAAATACGAAAAATAAGAAAAATTGCAGAATACCCAATTGAGATGAAAATATTTGAATCGTCAATGAGTTGAGAAGCATACTTCCACAGGCACAACAACTACTAATCAATTGGCAGCTATATATAACAACATTTGCAAATACAAGATACATGTGACCATGTCAGCAGGGGCGGAGCCACCAGGGGTCTAATGGGGGCAATTGCCCCCACTAGATTTTGGTCCTGGGTATTTCACCTATTACGATTGAGGGCGGCCAGTTTTAAGGCAAGGAGAACACCGTAACCATCCGCATAAAAAATTCAAGACAAAGGTTGTCAAAAAAGTCACAGTTGCTAGAGGAAGATTACCATCAAGAAACAATTCTGAAAGAATAAATAAACTATAAGGAGCTGAGTTGAAATTAAATCATTCACAACAATCAGATTGAGTGCAATTTCAACATAAAAGCCTGTTTTACACTAAAAAATATCTGATACTACCTTCCAACTTTGTTGATGAAGTTGAGTGGAAATCACTGCTACACAAGATGAAGGCAGGGGCGGAGCTAGGAAATTCGTTCAGTGCGGGCACATTTTAATCGACGTCGAACTTTGAGTTTTTGGTCATGAATTTAATAATGATAAAAATATAAAACAATATTAATATGAGATACTTGTATCTATTAATTCTGGATAGAAAACCTCTAAAGTCTGCAGAGAACTCTAGTGGAGCAAAAAAGTTGGAAGATCTATTAGGAAATCAACGCTCTATGTTCTAGGAACTTGGAGATAAAACGAAGGATTTTGGTTTTGTTGTAGATCTGTGATAATGATTCAGTGTTGCAAAAAATACAGAATGATTATTATGAGTTTAAAATGAGGAATTTGGAGATGAAAATGGAGAATTTCAAGTCTGATTTTAATGGAAACATATACTAAAATATGAGGAGGAAGAAGTAGAAGAGAAACATAAATCACTGGAATTGAAATTTCTAATAATTACTCAAAAAAACTTGTCCAATTATACCTCAGTTCCTAACAACAATTGAAATATGCCAAAACAACAGCATGAAAAATTTTGTAACTTAAAACCAATAAGAGCCTGTTTGGTAGGCATTAAAATGAAAAAAAGAGCCGTTGGGCTCATATTCCAACCAATTTTTTTGACTTTTTATCTCTATGGTGGGCCCCAGATTGGCCCACTAACGGTCACATTTTTTCTACAAACTTTCATTTTAATGCCTACCAAACGAGCTCTAAGTATGACAAGCATATAAAAGATAATATAATTCATTTTACTTTTCATTTTCTATGCCAAGAGCAAGCGTGTATTTCGATAAGTTTTCAATGAAATATTTATCGCAATCTCAATCACTAATACTTTGCACTTAGTGTACCACTCATTTTTGATTATAAAAGAGAAAAGGAAAATGAAGGGGGGGAAATGGTGCTTAAAACCAGACAAAGATGGATACATTATAAAGGATATCCATGTGCATGTGAAACTTTTTGGATGAACAATAGAATCACATATGCAAACAAAAGAATGTAACTTGTTATTAAAAGCTTTCCTAAGAGCTAAAGTTAAAATCCAATACTTGAAAAGCCAAGTTGTTAATTTCTGATGTATAATCAAATGTTACTGGACTGATAAACAGTGCCAATGAATTTGTTTTCTTGAACCGCCATGATTACCATTTCAAGCCATGCCATGATCGTTTACACCCAGCTAGAAGTTAAAAGCTCATCAAAATAGATCAATCAAAAGCATCAATTTCAAGTTACTGGAAGCAAAAGCAAGTTACGCCCAAATCAAGAATCAAGTAAAATCAATCCAAATACTCTCATTAAGTTCACCAATCTCATCCCCTCAGCAATTCACAGAGCAATATTGGAAGCAATTCATAGTGCTATTCATAGAGTATTTCACATAGAAATTTACAGAATTACAGATTCACAAAGTTATTCACAGAGGCACAGAGCAATACTAGAAAAAACTGAGACATTAAAAGAGAGCAATTCACATAGACAGAGGCACAACGATTTTCTTCTGTGCTTTTTCAATATTTTACCAACTGCTTTAAGTTCAATGTATGTTAAAAATAAAAAAATTGAAACATAACATTAAACAAATCAAAATAACTTATAAAAAGAAAAGTGAAATGAGCTGGTTTTGGGAGCTTTACCTTCTTTTTCAGCTTTGCTACCATCTGTCGAATCACCGGTGGAATAGAAGGCATCTGCCGACTGCCATCTAGGGCTCGAAAATGAAAAGGAATCGCAATAGATTCCGAGATTGGAGTGTTACGGTATCAACTCAACTGGGCATTTAATTTTGTATAATTGGGCTTGTATTTTAGTGGGCTAGCCCAAGCCTTTTAGGTTAGTTGTTTGGGTTTATATATAGTTTTGTGTCTGCATTTGGAGAGGTCGTGAATTGAATTGAATTGAACTGTGGATTCGGCTGCTCCCTCATCCTCCTTCCTCGTCTTCTCTGGCTTCTCCTCGTTTTCTTCTCCCTCCTGCAACTTCTTCACTGGCTGCTTTCTTCTTCACCGGTCTTCTTCTCTGGTAATCGGTTTCTCCTCTCCTTACTTTCTTCTTCTTATCTGTTCTTCTCCTCCTCTTCTACTTCTTTGTCTGCTTTCTCTGCTGGTCATCCTTTCTCTTTCGTATTTGTCATTTTACCTGTACTCCCTTGCATTGTAATAGAAGGTATCAATAAATGAAATACAGTTTATATAATTTCTGTTCGTTCAATTAATGAAGTTCCAGCTTGTGCTATTAAATATATTCAGTTGTGGGGTGATTGTAACAATTGGTATCAGAGCAGTACGTGACTTGGGCGATATGGCTGAGACTAGAAGCAAATCAAATGAAGATCATTTGAACAGGTTAGATAGAAAAGTGTTAGATTTGGGTGTGGTTGCAAATGTAGAACTCCTGAAGAGGCTGGATAAGGAAATAACAAATTTGGGAGTGGCTTTTAAAACGAATGAGCAAATGTTATAGGTTGTTCGTACTAGACAGGACACAATGGTGCAGATGATGGGGGAAATGAAGTTGATGTTAGCTCAACTGATTGGGAGTAAAACTGATGGTAAAGGGATCCAAATAGAAGGACACCCAAATCCAGTTTCCTCTGATGGTGGATTATTGAGTTCTGGGACAGGAAACTCATTCACACAGGGGAGTGGTAAGTTGGATTACCGGGTGAACCTAAAATCCCAAAGATAGATTTTCCTTACTTCGGTGGAGAAGGGCCTAGAGAATGGCTGATGAAAGCCAGAAACTACTTCCAACTCCATCAGATTCCTGATGGACTAAGGCTAGGAATGGTTGAGAAGTACTTGGAAGGGAAGGCTTATATATGGTTTTATGGATTCATTGCCAATCACCCTGGAGCAAATTGGAGTTTGTTTTCTGATGAGCTTTGCAGGAGGTTTTCAGAAACTATTAAAGAAGAAGTGGTTGAAACATTTAGTAAAATTGAACAACTGTGACCAAATAAAGATAAAGCCTATGAGTCTGAAGGAAAATCAGGAGGTGAGGAAATCATGGAGGTATCTATTAATGCATTGGCTAGGAGGTGGCAACACCAAACCATTAAAGTTCCAGGAGTGATGAAATGGAGGAAAGTCTCCATACTCTTTGAAAGTTAGGGTACTCACGATTTTGTTGAGGAAAAATTAGCCAAATATGTCACCGATGGAACGAGCAAGGGGACAGTTAGATTAGCCAATGGTGATAAACTGGAGACTAAAGCCTTATATCAGCCAGTGGTTTGGCAGATGCAGAACTGGGAATGTCAGTTCAAACTAAGAACTCTCAAGGATGAATCTTACCTTGTTGATGAAAAATCTAGCCGTATGCTCTTGGAAACGGAGAATTCAGCTTCATCAGTCTCCATTTTCATTTATTTGGATTCAGTCTGGTTTTGGAGTACACAACCAGAATTGTACGGAGTTACTGGGTTGATCAAGAAGATTGTCGCTAATGAGGCACGTGTCATCTTGCATTACTTGCTTGATTCAAGGATGGTGACGAGAATGAGGAGGCTACTAACTTTATATAGAAAAGATATCCCGACCTTGAACCTTGAGGACAAGGTTAATTTAAGGGGAAGTGATGTTACGGTATCAACTCAACTGGGCATTTACTTTTATTTTGTATAATTAGGCTTGTATTTTAGTGGGCTAGCCCAACCCTTTTAGGTTAGTTGTTTGGGTTTATATATAGTTTTGTGTTTGCATTTGGAGAGGTCGTGAATTGAATTGAATTGAACTGTAGCTTTGGCTGCTCCCTCATCCTCCTTCCTCGTCTTCTCTGGCTTCTCCCCGTTTTCTTCTCCCTCCTGCAACTTCTTCACTGGCTGCTTTCTTCTTCACCGGTCTTCTTCTCTGGTAATCGGTTTCTCCTCTCCTTCCTTTCTTCTTCTTATCTGTTCTTCTCCTCCTCTTCTACTTCTTTGTCTGCTTTCTCTGCTGGTCATCCTTTCTCTTTCGTATTTGTCATTTTACCTGTACTCCCTTGTATTGTAATAGAAGGTATCAATAAATGAAATACAGTTTATATAATTTCTGTTCGTTCAATTAATGAAGTTCCAGCTTGTGCTATTAATTATATTCAGTTGTGGGGTGATTGTGGTTGGAATTTAGCTTGTTTTGGTTGAATTTGAGCTCCAACCATAACATGGAGGAAGGCGGCGCCGGGTGAGAGTTTGTGAGAGGTTGAGAAGTCGAATGGCGTAGAATGAGAAGTCCACGAGCTGCGGAGTGTGGAAGGAATGGGTATGCGTGAGAGTTGAATGGTATTGCCTTGGATTGGATTTGGCTTTCTTCGTTCTTGGCTGTGTTGGGCTTATATTTTAACAAAGAAAGGGTAAATTAGGCCTAATGCCTCATTACATTAATTAAATGGAA